TAAGTTCTCACAGTCTGGCTTTGTCCGTATTTCATGGGGCCTGGGCAATTAGAACCAGGTTTCGTCTGGCAGGCGCTGCTACTTAAAGGATCATGGGACTTAGTAACTAGGGTTATAATTCGGGTAACTATACTTACAACCCCAATGAAGGTACTTGTATAACCTTACTTACTAAGTCCCATGATCCTCCAAGTGTACTCGTAGGGATGGAAGACGGGACAAGTAACAATAAGGCTAATTCTGTAGTTGTTCTGCGGTCTTCCTTTTCCTGCAAACCAAACAATTCATGTCGCACGCGAGTTTTCCCCCAACGCGAAAACCCAGAACCCTAAAACCTACAAAAATCCGAAGCCTGAAATCCTGAACCCTAGAGGCCGCAGATCCGCTGAAGCCGCCTCTGCTCCGTTGATACAGGCGCAGGGGTCAGAAGATATGGGTAATAACATCCCCCAAGCCCTCAGACGGCGGCACTTCACGGGATCTTTCTCGAAAGTCTCATACCTTGGACTGGAGGGCTTCCACGCTTTCAAGGCTTTGGGTTGTAAGGGCCTTAGTAATCAAAAAGGGTTTGAGCGCATATCTCAATCTAGTACATGGCGATTACAAAAGGAATTCAGATGTTAGAACTCCTCTGATCCCTGCACTAGCATCTAGCTAACTAAAAAAGGATTGTGGGTTAGGGCTTTGAAGGGCTGAGGGTTTGAAAGCTTTAGAGCTTCCGCGCTGAACGGGTTTAGGCTCTAAACGTAAATTGCTTGGGGCCATCCGGCGTCCAGATAGGATGTAGGGTTTGGGTGTCTGTTTAAGGCTTAAGCAACTTAGGCCCTCAACCGGAATTCTTGTCTTGGCCGCTTCAGGCTTCGCCAGTTCAATAACTTCACATGGCCAGGAGTCTAACAACCAAAAGAGGTCTGTGGACCATATTGGCAATACTGTCAATCCCCTTACAGTCCTTAGATGTCCTTACATGGGTGGTTGTCAAAATTAGGGTCCCTCTTTGGGTACCCTAAATATTAGGTGCCGTCTTATAATAAGGACCCCAAAAGGGACCATAATCTTGACAACTACCCACATAGCTGTACCATAAACTTGTATGGCATCGGTCAGCCGGAGCTGCTCCTGTACACACCAGAGCTTCTGTCGCGATTCAAGCTGTCAAGTCTGATCGACAAGGGAGTTTCCGAAAACAGGGGAACCTAATATAGTATATACCCTAAATAGTAGGATCCTTATTATAAGGACCCCAAAATAAGGTACCCCTAATTTCCGGAAGCTCCCACAAGGCAACAGCGCTCTCACAGCCAACACACTCTGTCCACGGAGTAACGCGTCCCGCGCCGTGGCAATCTCGGCAACGATGCATTCACAATCGTGCTATGCTTTGCCAAGCCAATGTGCCTGGTGGCCTGCAACGAAGCAAGCCGCCAAGACCAGATGATGCGGATGATGCGTGCCTGGCACGCCCGGCAACAAAAAATGCCAAAGCGAACTGATGCTGATGATGCGTGCCAGCTGCCCGTGGCATGCGCGGCTCCGAAGCAAGCCAAAGCTACATCATACTCACTGATGCGGCAGTGGTGGCCGTGCCAAGCCAAATGATGCTCATGATGCGCTCTGGTGGCTGTGGCAAGCCCGGAAACCAAACAAGCCAAGGCCAAATGATGCTCATGATGCGTGCCGCGTGTTAATGGGTGTTTCGTAATGTTCATGCTGATAATGCGTGCGCAATGGCAGTGGAATGCTCGGCAACGAAGCAAGCCAAAGCAAAATTTGCAACGAGGCAACTCAAGGTCAAATATGCTGGTGATGCCTCCCTGGTGCTCGTGGCATGCTCGGTAATGAGCTCATGATGCATGCCCGCAGCTGGTTGCATGCTCGGCAACAAAGCAAGCAAACGACAAGCCGTGTCTCGTGGATGTAGCATGCTCGGCATTCAGCCAAGCCAAGGCCAAATGATGCTCATAGTGCCACGGCATGCTGGCACACCAAGGCAAGATGGAAGCTCATGATGCATGGCTGGCGACAGCTTTGTGCCCGACAACGAGCCTAAGCCTATGCCAAATGATGCCAATGGCCGTGACGCTGAGGCAAGCCAGGGCCTAAGTAATGCTCATGATGAGGGCCTGATGGTCTTCTAAGCAAGCCCATCATGATGCGCGCATTGGTGGCTGTGGGCCGAGGAAAACGCTCGTGATGGCTGCCACGTGGCCGTGGGATGCCTGGTGACAGCGGCGTGTGCGGCACTGACGCATATAGGGGCCTTAATAATTAAAATGGGGTTTAGGGGCCCATTATGCTATACTTACAATGAGGAACCCCCAAATAGTAGAGGCAATTATTAAACGCCAACTCCAAATGATGCTCGATGCATGCCTGGTGGCTTTTGGGAGCCCCGGCATGATGCAGCCGGGGACCCTCCGGATGTTCTGATGCGATAAGCGCCGGCAGTCGCTTATGAGACTCTTGATGACTGTGGAGGCGTTGGATTTAGAATAAGGCGCCTGAAGTTAGAGATGGAGGTTTAGAGAGGGCTGTGCCAAACCATAGACCTTGAACACCCCTTCAAGCCCGGCAACTGCAACCTCGAGCCACCACTCAATAGACCTGCCCCTGACAATCTCGAACCTCAACGTATCCGAGAGCCGCCCAGGGCTACAGAACCAACCAATATTGAAGCCCTATCCGACGGCATTAAACCCAAAGCCTCATGGAGTCTTCATAATGAAAAGCATATAAACCCAGATTCTTAGAAAAGTATCCTTATGAATACTTATTATAAAACTATCCTTATGAATATTTATTATAAAAGTATCCTTATGAATACTTATTATAAAAGTATCCTTATGAATATACTTATTATAGCCTCGGACTTCTTTTCGAGGTCCCGACGTCTGAGACTCCAGGTTGTCTTGCAGAGGCTGAAGTGGGGCCTGCAGATAGTCGTAGTACCTCGAGGGGTTTTGTGTAAGGGTTTAGGGTTTAGGGTTTAGGGTTTAGGGTTTAGGGTTTAGGGTTTAGGGTTTAGGGTTTAGGGTTTAGGGTACCTCGAGGGGTTTTGTGTAAGGGTATTCTCCTAGACCCAAGAGTAACCTAGGAACACAAATGGGTGCCGGTTTTGGTTTAAAGGCGCTTCTAGGGGAGGCTTGATATGCATCTATTACAGTGGCTCTGAGCACGCATCGTTGCAGTACCTGAGGTACATTCACACCAAATTCGATGGGACTGGAGCTCGTGATTAAATGGGTTGGAGCTTAGCGCCCTCTGTTCAGGATCGGGATTCCAAAGCCCTACGCTACGAGGCCCTCAAACCTTGAACCCTAATATTCAAGAGTCCCGACATATCCTCAAACCTACAAAACACCCTTTGGAAAACCAATAAAGGAAGACTACATAAGCAGACGAAGCATTTCAAGACACCATGGGAGACTAAAGCCAAACACGTTCTTTTTCTGAGGCCCTCGCTGGTGCTCGAACTGCTCCTGCCAAGCAAAGGCCATGAAGCTGAGCCAGAGTTGAATCGCAAACGGATACGAGGATTTCGGGGTGCTGGGGTCGAGGCTTAAGGGTTTAGGAGTTCAGGGTTAATTAAGTGTTTAGATCTTATATAGTAAAAGCCAGAAAGTTGGAATATGATTATCCTAAACCCTTTATGGTAAATTATAGGGTCTCCTACCCTGAAACCATATTCCAACTTTCTGGAGTTCCCTTTAACCCTAAACCCTAAACCTAAACCCTAAACCCTATCATAGGGTTGCTGTTTCCGAGTTCTACCCTCGACCCGATGCTTAGAGGTTCTCAAGGATACACCATAGAAACAGAACCCAAGTTCTGGACCCAGAGTCCTCTGAGGGATTCCCCCTAAGTTAAGGAATGGGCTTGTCCGGGTCTGTACTTAAAGGATCATGGGACTTAGTAACTAGGGTTATAATTCGGGTAACTATACTTATAACCCCAATTGAGGTACTTATACCCTTACTTACTAGGCCCCATGATCCTCCAAGTAGGGCTTTATGATTTCGGGCTCGGGGGTTTGAGGGCTGCATGCTTTCGGACTTTAGAATGCAGGGCTGCCCCAGAACTACGCCTACACCCACATACAGCAAAGCATGTCTAGGTTCCTTAAAGGGATCTATAGGGATTCTATAAGGGTATAGGGTTTAGGGTTTACGGGGACTTAGTAACTGATCATTTTCGGGACTTATAAGTACCATAGCCCCAATTAGGGTCCCTTTTAGGGTACTTATAAGTCTACTTACATACATACACTATACTATACCAGCATCCGAGATCCCAGTTTACCGATCAAGGCCCCTTGTCTGCTGCTTGATGGGTGGAGGTACATGTACATATACACGTATGTGTACATGTCTGTGTGTATGCATATGCATATGGGCATGTAGTGTATGTACATTCAATGTATGTGCTGCATATGTAAGTATTTGTATTAGTCATAGATGCATATATGACCATATCTACATATATTGTCTATCTATACCTAACCACAGACATATGTGCCTATGCCTATGTCCGTGTCTATGTGTGTGTGTGTGTCTCTATGTCTTGTAAATAAATATGTATGCACGCATGTATGCATGTATGCATGTATGCATGCATGCATGTATGCATGTATGTATGTATGTATGTATGTAGGTATGTGTGTATGTATGTATGTATGTATGTATGTATGCATGTATGTATGTATGCATATGTGCACACACACATACATACATGTGTGTATATATATATATATATATTCTATGGTAAGCACTGCACAGGCAAATCGGGTCCATGTTGAATTTATGGACGGCAATGCTTTGATTGCACGCGTTCGCTGTGAAACATGACAGCCTGACACCAGTAGAATCAGTAGAAAGACAGATGGGGCTCAGGGCATAAGGTCAATGCGAACAGATATAGGACTTGGTGCCTACAATAGACGCACATCCCAGCGCCGTGATTCAGATAATGCTCCACGGACCAAGTCTCGACCGTGAGTTAGTTCAGAAGATGCCACGGTAAGAAAAACACATCAGCCAAAGCACGGCCATAAGCTTTGCAGGTGGGTCTGCTGAGGCAGCTTTGCCCATTTGTGCTTTGTTAGCCCCATTACAGCTGTCGGAAGTTGCCATGACGGCAGCCGTTTGGCCAGTTTCGCAGCGATCCAGTGGCGCTGTCTCCAGAATCTCTGCGTCCCCTGTACAATCCACGGATGAAGAGTAGTTGTACAGGTGCAACTCGGCTGTGGCGTTGTTGCACTGCCACTGCCTGCTGGAAGTAGCCATTGGCATGCAGCGCCCTATCATCACGTGCCTCTGGTAGTCGATTTGGCTATCGTCACAGCTGCTGGCCGAGTACACAGTCGTCGTAGCGCTCTCCCACGATTCAAGCCGAAACCTGCTGTAATGACCGCCTGCACCAGAGCAAACGTTGATCTCTTCCGATAAAGAGAAGTATGGAAGGCCGCTGCAGTTGATGTAGCCACTCCTGTACATGCTCATGCGCAGTCTCGTGCCGTTGTCCAGCAACTCCAGCTGTTGGGCTTGGTTTTCGCCATTCGCAACACATCTCCCTACTGGCTGCACTAGACCAGTCCCATAGAGGCCGGAAGTGCATTGACTGCCGGCGAATTTCTCCTCAACCACGAACAGCTCTGCTAAAGCAGTGCCACATAAGGCGACAAAGAGTCTTCTCTCCATGGCCAGGAAAGTTTAGCACTGTGGAATTTTGGGGGATGAAACCGAGGTACATGGTGCTGGAGTTCCTAAACCCTGAACCTCTAAACCCTAAAAAAGACACTTAAATTATGTGCGTCATACTTCACATCCGCCAACTGCCGCGGTCAAGAGCAGCAAGTCGAACGTGTTTGCATGGTCAAGTTCTGAGAGCCCTTCGAAACCGTCCCTAAGGGTCCATGTACCCAAATAGTGCAGACATTGGCCTTAAAGTAATCCCTATATAGCTACATTGGGGCCGAAGTATATACTATTTAGGTACATGGACCCTTAGGGCGTGAATGAAGAGTCATACATCCACATCGAGCTTTCGAAGCAGAGTGCAACTTCCCTATGCAGCCTTTTTTCCGAACCTAAACCCCCCTGACCCGAACACAAGCCCGGTATGAAAAAGTGCCCCAGAAGCTGTTTTGCTGCCCTGTGGCAACGGTCCACCACGAGCATGCTTGCTATAAGCCCACATACGCCAGAAACCTTCAAGCAAACCATGACCTGAAACACGACACCCTAAACTTCCTAAACCTGATCTCAAAGCCCAGGACCTCTAGACATCTGTCCTAAAGCCTGACATGCCCTAAAACCCTGAGCCCGAAACCCTAAACCCTAAAACCCTGAGCCCGAAACCCTACACTACTTCTTCTGCTCAACTCATGCGGAGCCTGGGCTGTCGGTGCAGGCCGGGATTGGAAGAGCCTGGCGATGTAGTGAAGGTACCTGGGGGGATAAGAGGCGGTGCCTACGATTTGGGGTTTATGGGATTACCCTAAGGCCCCAATGTAGTTCCTTTTTGGGGTTCATATATAGAATCCTATAAGGTAATCCCAAAAAGGAACTACTTTGGGGCATATGGGTCGATTAGGATATTTGGGGGTTGGGTTTTGTTTGTGGGGAACAGTGGAGAGAGTGCAGCTTTAAGATTCTGGGTCTGTTGTAGATACCAACCCCGGCACGGTCTTTGGGGCTGAGCATTTGTACGCCTGGGGCAATGGAGGTATTGTAACCGAGCTACACTTTCTCATAAACACAATCGTCATCATCTTTTGTGTGCAAACAATGTGGCGCAGCGTACCCTAGAAGCCCCACTGCGCATGTATACCGTACTTATACGCATAGCCCTACTTAGAACCTACTTACGAAGCCCCCGGATGCTTCAGCTTAACCCTGAAGACTTGAACAAAAACAGTCAAAGCAAGTTAAATCTTGCCAAGCCCTACAAGACCCTGGGTATTTTTTACGCCTGGGGTTTACGTTGCGTCGCACTTCTCCGTCTCTGTCTCGGCCGATTCGGGTAGACCCGAGAGGACGACCTGAACTTTGTTCCTCGCAAGAATTTCGAGGGCTTGTTTGTAAGGGTTTAGGGTTTAGGGTAGGGTTTAGCGTATGCTTCGGGGCTTGGCGTAGGTTTAGAGGCATCAGGGGGTTGTTCAAGGCCGAGGGTTTATAGACTTCAACGCCCCGGCTCACCCGTGACTGCTTCGGGTGCACTGCTGGAGCTATGTTGGCTCGGACACCCGAAACCCTGAACGCCGAGATCGACGGCGGCTTTCCGACAAATAACATGATCCACTAGGACGGCAAAGTTTTAGCTAGAGTGCTGGACGCTCTTGGGCACGCTCTTCTCTCCAACAGTTTCTACTGCTTCTAGTACTTAAAGGATCATGGGACTTAGTAACTAGGGTTATAATTAGGGTACCTATACTTATAACCCCAATTAAGGTACTTATAACATTACTTACTAAGTCCCATGATCCTCCAAGTAAGGAAGCTTCTACCCTAAGGCCCCAAAGTGGTTCCTTTTGGGGGTTCGTATATAGAATCCTATAAGGTAACCCCAAAAAAGGAACTACTTTGGGGCCTTAGGGTAGTAAGGAACACAGATCCACGAAAGTGATAGCGCACAGTGCCCCATGACCTGGAACCCATGACATCAACCCTGAAACCTACAGAAACTGAACCCTTCCAAGGGTAAAAGGAGGGACCCTTAATAAGGACCCCTAGGTATATACCCTTAATATAGCTATTATATAGCCCATTATATAGCCCATAAAAGGGTAGGGGTCCCCATTAAGGGTCCCTCCTTTTCCCCTAACCCCATGCACACCAGAGAGCCTGAAAGCGCAGAGTCTTGCGAACTATCCTCACTGGACCTGCTTATCAAGTGCTTCTGAATGTCACTAGACAGGTTCAGGGCTTGGGTGTTTGGAAGGTTTGACATTTAAGGATTCTGGGCTTCGGGGGTTTAGGGTGTTTGGAGGTTAGGGATTCCGTCTGTTGGATTTCGGGCTCCTCCGCCGAGTGGTGACTTGCGGGGTTGTTGGCCTTTTGGGGTGTAGGGCTTTAGAATCGATTAGGCTTTCCCTGCGCAACAAACCCTCAACACAAATCCTAGAACCTGAACCCATCAACACAAAACCCTAAGCCCTACATGCTAGACCCGAAATCCCGCGACTGCCCTCCTGAAAAGCTGCATCAGGAACTCCTTGTGGCGCTTGGAGAGCACCTTCGGATTCGGGAGCAGGGCGGCTGCGTGTTCAAGGCACAGTCTCACTGCTGGCATCTTCAAGAGTGATATGTATTCTCATGATTAGGACACCGGACATGCATACTAGTGGCAGTTGCAAAAGTAGCAATGCAAATAATCACCAACAGAAATCATGGCAAGAACAAAACTGCAAGTTTAGACCGGAATGCGTTGATGTGAATGATAGTACTGGATACTGACGTCAGCAGTGATGCTAATGATCCCCGTGATGATACTAGAAGCCCCTGCACCCAAAGCTCAAACCTAATGACTAATGTCTCTTCATAACCTCTTGGGCTTAAGACTGTCTTCAACGATGAAAACGAAATCCTACAGAGAGCACGGTATACGTCTTTCCACAGCATCCTCAGACAGCGGGTCTGTTGAAGATCAGTCAGACTTACCAAGCCAGGCTAGCCTTTAACCTCCGAGCTCTACACAACTTAAGTGGCTGAGGAAGTTCCGATAAGCACAGAATGACTTTGGAGCTTTCGGTACAGAGGCATGGTGGGGGACATAGCCTTTGAACGCTGCGTTTGGGGCTATATGCTTTTCGGTGGAAGAGACGCTCGCGGCTCCTGCTCTACTTGGAGGATCATGGGACTTAGTAAGTAATGTTATAAGTACCTTAATTGGGGTTATAAGTATAGTTACCCTAATTATAACCCTTGTTACTAAGTCCCATGATCCTTTAAGTACGGTGCAGCATATCATCCTCAGCCCATGTTCCAATCCTTTGATGCTGGGCATAAACGGCTCTAAACTCTCAAGCGAAAACAAAACTACTGAATCACACGAGAACGTCGTATGGTGGCCAGATTCTGTCAGGATGCTGCGGAAATGTTGGCGAACCGAACAAGAGAAGGAAAGAAGTTTTGCTCACCCAAAAAGCGCACCGGGAAGCCCTTCTTGTTGGTCAGGAACACGTCAGCGGGGACGATGACCGATCGAACTGCGGCAGCAGAAGCAGGGCAAAATGCTGGAATATAGAACCAGAAAGGCGCGGGACTGCAGTCTTACATCAGACTATATGTGTTCTAGAGCATCTCAGCCCACCTGGTTCCGCCAGCCATCGCATCAGCTCCTGCCGCGACAGGACAGCGAAGTTTTCGAATTCGCTTCGACCAGAGTTAGGATGCAAAAGATAGCCCTAAACCCTAAACCCCTAAACCCTAAACCCCTAAACCCTAAACCCTAGCCCCTAAACCCTAAACCCTCAGACCCTAATTAAACCCTTCAGACCCTACATATACCCAAAAAGGTCCTCTGCAAACGTCCGATGCAAAGCAAAACAGCCCCTTGCATCAAAAGCCAACATGCGATATGGGAGTTTCCGAAAATAGGGGCACCTTTTTTGAGGGTCCTTATAATAAGGCTCCTACTATTCATCTCAATACCCTAAGCCCCCAAAGTGGTTCCTTTTTGGGGGGGTTCGTATCTAGAATCCTATATAAGGTAATCCCAAAACGGAACTACTTTGGGGCCTTAGGGAAAATACATGTGTGTACAAAACAAAAACGCATTTACCTACTTAGCCGTATTATGCAGAAATGGAAATGTCTAAATATGTAAATTTACGTACATACATACATACATACATACGTGCACTCCTACATGCTGACATGCATACATGCATGCATGCATACATACATACATACATATGTATATACATACATACGTACAGACATGCATACATACATACAAGCATAGCAGCACAGCACAGCACAGCGCAGCGTAGTGCAGCACAGTACATGCGTACATACACATACAATCACATACACATACGCCTATACAAATACACATATACACACAACCACATACACAGAGAGACATGGATAGAGGTATAGAGATAGATACAGATATACATATATAATGTACATTTATATGTGCACCACAAGTGCTGAGCTTTGCAACCTGTGAAGCCCCAGAATGCACTAAAAGTCCTTTGTATACCTTGAAAAGCTTTCAAAGCCACGGTCTGCACTCCAAAGCTCGCCACTCTGACTTGGGAGATACCCGGGTTTAGGGGTTTGTTTTAAGCCTGGCACCTTCGAAGATGAGCTTAGAACGACAGCTCGGGGCTAAGAGGTTTAGGGGCAGGGAAGTGGCTTAGTGGACTATTAGTGTGGTGAGCCCCACAGGCTCAACCTGCATATAGTAATAGCAATAAATAAGGAGGTGCTTTTCAAGCCTTTGAAAAATATCAGCCGAGGCCACAGGCCCAGGCGTCTTGGTGGTTACCTCAAGTGCCATCCGCCTAATCCTCTCACTGCAGTCCGAAACTTTCACGACACCCGCTTTTTGCATTCATTTGCGACCCCCTTGCCCGGCTTCCCTTCATTTTACCGGATTTTCTGGCCTTTCCCCCCCTGATCCTCTCTTTTTCTTCTCTTTTTTGGTGTTGCCCCTCGCCTCCCCTGCCCGCCCTCCTCCCCGTCCCCTGCCCCGCGCCCTCTTCCTGCTCCTGCCCAGTCCTTGCGGCGCGTGGCCGCTGGTCCCTAAACTTGCATCCGCTGTTCGTTCCTCCTTGCCGCACGCTGACATGTCTCGACCCTAAACCCTAAACCCTAAACCCTATCGCTGAAAAGCAGCTCAACGGCACCCCGGCACCCCGTGGGAGTCCTGTTCAAAGAAATCTCAATACCCTAAGGCCCCAAAGTAGTTCCTTTTTGGGGTTCGTATATAGAATCCTATAAGGTAATCCCAAAAAGGAACTACTTTGGGGCCTATGGGTATAGCCGTGACCTTGACAGATTTCCTGCGTGATACAGGAGGCTTCGCCGTTTCATCCGGCCCCTGCACCTCAGGAGCCGAGGCGGGCGGCGTAGCGTTAAAACTAGTAGCTAAGATCCTCTTAAGCCCAATAAGAGCAAATATAAAATGCCCCAAAGCCCTACATAGACAAGCTTTGCTAATCTGTTAAGACGTGTCAATACTCCAACCCTCAACCCTAAACCCTAAGCCCTAAACCCATCCTAAACCCTAAACCCTGTGCCTGATCCGTCTCTGGAAGGTCAGCAGTGAGCTCCAAACAAACCTGCCCAAGAAGTTCCAGATGCTTTCTTAGGCTTGGGCTGCGAGGCTGTGGGATCCCGGGCACTATTATTTAAAGGATCAGGGGACTTAGTAACTAGGGTTAGAATTAGGGTAACTATACTTATAACCCAAATTAAGGTACTTATATAACCTTACTTACTAAGTCCCATGATCCTCCAAGTAAGGTCTGAGCAAGTATTAATACTACCCGGAGCTTCCATATTGTAAGTATAGTATTACTAGACCCAAGAGTAGCCTAGGAATAAAAAGGATGCCCTTTTTGGGTTAAAGGGGGTTATAAGGGAACCTGAACCCTTAAAAAGGGAATAAGGGCCTACTCTGGGTCCTAGATTATATGCACCAAAATATTCAGTTCGGGTCCGGGCTGCGAATTGGGAGTCCCGATGGTGGCTCGCCGAAAAAGGAGTTGAAACATCTTCAGTTGGCGAAACCATTCAGGGATTTACCTGCAGCTTCAGCATAAATCGGTCGCAATTCCTCTTGCTACTGCTCCCGACCCTGAAACTGTTCATGTGCATGCCTTTCTAACTTTAGACTCCATCTTGCGGTGACCCATCCCTGAAGCCTCAAACACCCCAGCCCTACGGCCCACCCCCGAAGCCTTGATCCACATGTTTTGTCGAACATCAGCGTGGACACATCCAGGCAACCGAGTCCCACTGAAAATTTGCACAGCACGTTGTTGCGATGCTTCTCTACTTAGAGGATCGTGGGACTTAGAAAGTAAGGTCGTAAATGAGGTAACCATACTTATAATTTACACATAGCCGATATAGCCCCAATTAAGGTACTTAAAACCTTACTTACTAACTCCCATGATCCTCCCAGTGCAGGCCATGAAGGGGTTTCTATGGCGGTCAAAAGCCTCCCATGTGCACCGATGTGCTCACACTCTGCTTGAAACAGCGTTTCTTGGGTTTTGGGGTCTGGGGTTCTCGGATTCCAGATTTACTTTAGCATCCATCTGTACAAGTTTAGCTTCGCCAATTTGCCTGCTTGCCTGCACAAAACCGTCGCAATAGATCCGTAAGACACCAGTACAAAGCAGCCTAATGATGCATGATGTTCCAATGGACAAGACGAGGGTATCCTTGGAATGAATACTGCTCACATGCATGATACCTACCAAGGTCAAACCGACGTCTTAAGCTCTATGACCCCGAACCCGAAAATTCAAACCCGAGACCACCGAAACCCGAAACCCTAAACCCCTGAACCCCTATAGATCCCTTATAGTACCCTGAAAGATCCCTTTTAAGGAACCCTTACATAGATCCCTTTAAAGGAACCCTTCTAGTAACCCCCCTGAACCCTCAACCTGCAGTCGCGGGTTCTGGTCGCAAAGCAGGCGCAGGGCGTTCCACGATACCCAGCCATCTGCCTCTAGGGCTTCTTGCTGTTGAGAAGACCGTTTGAGGGTTCCTGTAATACGGACTCCAAAAAGACTACCAGTATGAGGGTACTACAGGGTTTTAGTATGTTTTCGGGCTTAGATCTACGACGATCTGCGATTGCTACCGCAATTCTGTGTATTATGGTGACCACTCTACTACTACTACTACTACTACTACTACTACTACTACTACTACTACTACTACTACTACTACTACTACTACTACTACTACTACTACTACTACTACTACTACTACTACTACTACTACTACTACTACTACTACTACTACTACTACTACTACTACTACTACTACTACTACTACTACTACTACTACTACTACTACTACTACTACTACTACTACTACTACTACTACTACTACTACTACTATATTGCCGCTTGATGATGCGCGTGTGGTCTTCTTGGTTGTGGTTGAAGGTGGAACTTTCCTGATAGCAATCTGTTCCCAAAACGTATTGTGATGCATCATCGGCCCTAAACCTATGCCCTATACTGCAGGAACCTGATTAAGCAACCCTGGGCCTGCAACCCCAAAATAGTAGGATTCTTATAAGTAAAGGCTCAAGGTTTCTTAATCAATCAGGTCCCTACATTACCTCTGAATGCTCGCAGCCCGAAACTTCCCACCAGTTTTAAACACTCAATTTTTACATTGACTCACGGAAAAAGAGGGCTGCACTTCCAATTCAGTGTAATTATTGCGAAACCGCCAAAGCTTTTGGAATCGGTGAAGAAGACACCCCCCGGTCAAAAATCCCAAAATAGTATAGCAAATTATTAAGGCCCCTATATTACATAGAGGGCCAACAGGATCACAAGGACGGGAGGAAACCAGGGGTGGCAAAAAACTTCAAAACCACGGGCCCGCAGGAATCCGATCCCAAATCCTTGTTTCGAAAAATACTTGAAGACTTGAAAACGACGCACATGAATTAATACCGCCCTTCACAACCAACGCGGGTATTGAGAACATAACACGACTCCCAGGAACTTGGATCAAGCCTCGCCCATAAGCAGCGGGATGTTGACCATCAGCTGGGTGGTGCAAATACCTCCATCAGTGGTGTGTTTTTTCTTACCTAGAGGGTCCATGTATACTACCATTTTCATGCCCCTATCCTGGAATTAGGTCCCAAAAGACCACCCCATTATGGTTTTTGGGACGTAATTCCATAAGAGTAGTGTATATGGACCCACTGGGTTACAAGTCAGGAGATCTGTGACTTGAGGGCTTGAGGTTTAAAGGCTTCTGAAAACCCTAAACCCTTTGAAACCCTAAACCCTGTACCCTGCACTCTAAAGCCCCTAAGCACCAAACCACAAAACCCAAACTCTAAAAATTAGCCTGAACCCTAGATCTAAGCCCTATTATACAACCCTAAACCCTAACTCCAAAGCCCAACACCCTAAACACCAAAACTCTAGACAGGAACTATAGAACTGAACCCTATAAACTTATAAACCCTAAACTCTAACTCCAAACCCCTAAACCCCAAAAACACGCAACCCGAGGACTCAGGGTTTTAGGCTCGGGCAAGGAGAAGACTGCTAAAGGGTTCCTTAAAGGGCTCCTTACAGGGATCTACAATAGTTCTGAAAGGGTTCTAAAC